AGATGGCACCTTTATGACATTTTTTTCCATTAAAGGTTTGGAAAGAGAAGGGTACATAATGTTCCTCGGAGGTCTTTCCAGGACCACATTGCGCTGCTGGTGCTTAATTTTCTATCATGATTTCCTCCACTTTTGATTAGCAAGCTCATCCTAACTTTGGATCTTGTAGATGTGGGAGGATTACACTTGAAATGAAAAGAAGAAAATGTCATGCAATTGGCTGGTCTTGTACATTTTTTCCCCAAATAAAATTTCCCAAAAGTCAAATCCCTAATCTGTCTTTAACATTCTCCCTGCTGTTGTCAGAGCAGAACTTTTCTGCTTGTGTTCTACAGACATTGCTTAAAACCGCCTCCCTCATTCTGGAGATATCCAAATGTGTTAGGATCATAGCTCTTAGGACTCCTAGCCAACCTGGCCATATATATATATATATATATAACAGTGGGGCCCCATTTTAGGCTTCTGTCAATCAGTTGTATGCATGTTTTCCAGAAGTAACTCTTAGTGTTTTTATTGGGAAGCACAAAGAAATACACATGGGACTGACTCATTAAAAAGCAAACAGTTCTTCAAAACCTTGTCCAACATTGTCAAGGATGTTATATGTATCAAGTATATGAATAACTAATGTTATTTATGGGGTATTTCTATATGCCAGCTCAAAGCAGCGGGAAGAAAATTTTCATTTAATGTAAATCCTGATGGTCAAAATCTGTTAAAAGACAATCCTCTTTTAAAACCTTAAATTTATATCAGATGTAAGAAATATATGTGTGCCATACTTGTGATATGTTGTACTGCTGTAATTATTAACTGGACATAAACTGAACTGGACAATTTTGGTCAAAAAACAAGAAAACTGATATCTATTCACTATGCATTACATCCTCATAATGTTATTGATAGATTAAACTTGCCTCACAGAAATGGAGGCAAGTTAAACAAATTATCAAAGAAGAAAAGCATGTGTTGACTGATTATATAAAAGATAGCCAAGAATAAGCATTGATGCAGGTTAAAAACTGGAAGATACTAAATGTACAGGAAACAAGAACTGAATATCAGAATAATGTAATAACACACATAGGATCCTGGAGAGGAAAGGCATTGCATGGTCAATTTTTACAAAAGACTGAGGAAAGTGGATAAACATAAAAATTCGCAATAGCTTATAGCTGGAACATTTTTAAAAAGAAACTTAAGACTTGATTTTAGTTGCACAAGAACAGGCTGTTAGAACAAATGCAATCAAGGTCAGAATTGAAAAATCATCAAATGATTCAAGGTGCAGATTGTGGAAAGAAGCAGAAGAACCTGATCATATACTCACCTTGTGCAAAAAGATTGTACAAATTGATTATAAAAAAAGGACATAACACAGTCACCAAAATGATTCACTGGAACATCTGTAAAAATGATCATGTACCAGGAATGAAAAATTGGTGAGCATTTAGAGTTGAAAAAGGAGGTGAATGAGCAGCTTAAAATACTTTGGGATTTCTGAAGAGACTGATATAGTTTTGGCTCATAGCACACAAGATATAACTGTAGTTGAAAAGAAGAAAGTGTGGATAAATTGATGTGGCAATACCAACGGATAATAGGATGGATGACAAAGAATTGGAGAAGATCACAAAGCATCAAGATCTGGAAACTGAAATTGAAAGATTATGGCATAAACTGGCCATAATAGTACCAGTAGTGATCAGCATACTGAGTGCCATACCCAAAAAAAATTCATGTGTCTTTAAAAAAACTTGCATAGATGTACCTGTATAGATTTGCATAGATTTACCTGTGATTTATGGGAATGACTTTGGGAGACAGAAGAAAGAGCTGCAAACTAGACACAGACAAGCAGCAGTTGAATCTGCAGAAGGAATGTGTGTATGGCAAACTTAGAAGGAACCCTTTCTAGTTTTTAGGACTATAAAGTTGGAGGGGGAAAGACGTACGTTCAGACCTTCATGGTTTTGTTAATGTAATCTTACGATAAGGTTAGAACTAATACTTTGGGATGAGTTTCTTGTCTGGACTACCTCCCTCAGCAGGCTGACAGTCTCTACAGTCCAGCAGTTTTTGGAAGGAGTCCCCAAAAAAGGAAAGAAAGACCCACCAAACTCAAGTTGAGACAGTAGCAGGGGCAGGGATGAAATGCTCCCGGTTCAGACCAGCTCGGGCGAGTAGGTAGCGATGGCGGCGGGCAGTTCAGAGAACCGGTAGCAAAAATCCTTGGTCCCTCCCCCCATGCCCAGCTGAGCCGCGTGATCATCAGAGCCTTTTTTCCCTTTTAAATGGCTCTGACAAGCCAAGCTCTGACGATCCCAGCTGAGTTGCCCGCTAATCAGGCAACTCAGTTTGGATTGTCAGAACCATTTAAAAGAAAAAAAGTTTCTTTTTCTCTCCCCACCCCCCCCAGCCTCCAGCTTGCTTACCTTAACTGCTGGTCGCAATGCCTCCTTGCTTCACTTGCTGTAATACCTGCAATCCATTGCATCAGCAAGCAACTGAATCTCCCTGCCTGCAATCAAGCTCATCGGTGAGCAGCTCTATCTGCACTTGTGGACTTCAACTCCCAGCAAAGCTGGCTGAGGAATTCTGGGAGTTGAAGTCCACAAGTCTTAAAGTTGCCAAGGTTGGAGATCCCTGTTCTATTAAGGGATAGTTTAAAGGGTAAGTTTTTTTCCCCTTTGGGAGCTTTAAAAAAAATAGTTCATTGCGGTTTTTTTTAGTTGTTCTTTTTTTAGACCTAGCCATTTAAAGTTTAGGAAGTTTTAAATTTAGTTTTCATATAAAATAAAATATTAAAAAAAAATAATATTTGTGCAGCTTTCTGAGATTTAGTGTGTTTCTGTAGTGTTTCACTCTAACTACACAAACACACAAAATCTTACAAAGCTGTATGTGTGTGTAAAGTGTGAAAGTTGGTTTTTTGGGCTTTTTGTGGCTGTGTGAGGTTCCTGCTTGTTGCAGGGGCCATTTTGGGTCTAGCACAGCTGCTTTTACATTGTGGGTGAGCCAGTTGTGTTGTGTTGTGTTTTGTAGGTTAAAAAAGGGCAAAGAAGTGACATTGACTTGGCCACGCCCACCCAGTCACCTTACCACCAAGCCCCGCCCACTAATTAAGCCACACCCACAAAACCAGTAGCAAAAAAATTTAGATTTCACCCCTGGATAGTAGACCATCCTGGGGGGGGCAGAAGAGCAATAGGGAAAAAAATTTCTTGCAAAAGAAAATTATTTTGCAGCGATTTTCTGAAAATGAGTATAGCTGTCACTTTATGAGTGTAAACACAGTACGCATTTAGCATGTCTTGTCATGAGATTGTGTGGCTAATGGACAGCTGTGGTATCTCAGAAAAAGACGCAGCTCCTTTAAGGAATCGCAAGCAGATGTTAAATTCTCTGGGGCGCTCAAATCTTCTTTGATTAGATTATTAGTTTTTATATTTATTGAGAGGAGGGGGGGCTGTTGAATTGTGTAAGTTTCAGATATTTTTTGCAGGTAGTAACACAATGAAATACTAAAACCTTTTGAGCCCTGCAACACTGTGAGCTGTTTCTTGACAAGCTAATTGGTTGAAGAGCTCACAATTCTATTCTGTCAGAGGGATGGAAGTCATCAGACTTGCTGACACAACATGTGAACCCATTCCAAATGGCTAACCTAAGTATACATGCTGCCTCATTACTTAGCATCCTCTTTAGCTACAACTGTTTTGTGGTTAAGAGTAATCTGCAAATGCCATACATCATTTCAAGTTAGCACTACCTGAAACGTGAAACTTACAAATAATTATGGTTTTAAATTCTGATTAATGTTAACTGGAGGTACGAGCTGCTTTGTTGTGCTTAATCCTAGAAGGGCTGTGACAATTAAGTAGCCATGTAGGACAAGAGGAAGGTGATGATGCAGATGTTTACATTAAGTAATCAGAATATTTATCACTGTGTTTAGACATCAGAGATGGTGGAAGATAGTGTCATCTGTCCATGAGAGCCTTAAATACTGATCATTCTTCTGTGAAAAAATAGCTGAAACTTACTTTTATCAGAATCCTTTGTTAGATTGTGAAAGAAATGAAAGCCATGACAAACTACCAGTATATTAGCTTGTATAGTGCTTTTGTTGGACTCCAAATATTCAGTGTAGCTGTGGCTAGTTTCAAAAGCATAAATCCTAGCATTAGAAATAGAATAACAGAGTTGGAAGGGACCTTGGAGGTCTTCTAGTCCAACCCACTTCTGAGGCAGGAAGCCCTACACCATTTCAAACAAATTAGTTGTCCTAGAAAATTTTCCATATGCACCAATTGTACAAGCATAACAATGATTAGGTATAGTAGTCAAAAGGTCTCTGACAAAGCATCCACATCAGCAAAGAGCAGCTCAGTTTATAAAATATTTTAGCTTTACTTAGTTTACAGGAAAGAGATGTTGACTATAATGCACCCAGTTTTTTTTACAGCATCACACAGAGACCTAGCCCTGGATGTCCTGTTAACCATGGCTCCTTTAAAGTATGTTCATTTTACCAGAACAGTCTAGTCTGAAACTAACCATGGGTAAACCAATGAGTTCTGTAACATCTAGCAACAGTTTGATGGTAAACTGCCATTTTTGGCCAGTAACTATTTTGCAGGATCCAGCGAACATTATCTGTGGATAGGATTTTCTTCAGCTTGAGTGAAAAAAATAAAGAACAGTTGCAACCATGTCACTGAAAGTCTAATTTTTATGGCTGCTTCAATTGTCTATCTCTGGGTCTAAGATTTATTTATTTATTTAAGAAATTTTATATGGCCACTCAACTCACTCACAGTGACTCCTGATTATAAGATTTGCCTAGAAACATGACTGGAAAAGAACAAGAAACAATTATCTTGGACTCAGATTAAGAAGCATTAAGAAAATGCTGAAGCGCTAGTTCAAATATTTGGCAAGTAATTTTGCATTTAGAAATTGAACTTACTTATAAGCGATTAAAAGCCACTAACCTTGGAATTCTTCCACCTCAGCTTTTGGTTTCAGTTGAGACGACACCAAACTTTTCAAGCTGGCAAGGCAGTTTGACCTTATGTTTTGCTTACATAATGGTTCCAATTCTCATTGTTAGTATAAGAATCATCTCTTACAAGTTGGAATGTTTCTGTCTGAATGACAATCAGAAGCAATGTTTTGCGAATAACCTATGACAAAGCATTCTTTCCAAAAGGGGCTTAAGGTTCCCTAAAAACAATTTGGTCCATGATGTGATCCAGAAACTATTATCTAACAATTACCTAGACATAGCCACAAGGTGGCTTGGTTTATTGCGTACATGCAGTCAGAATTCTCTACAGGGCCATTGTTGATTTTGCAGCTGCCTTCTCATGTGGGGAATGCATTGTGGGGTTGCCAAGGAATATGATAAAATCTACTGGCTTAGAAAGTTCTGAAGTAGAATATTGTATGATGGTTCTCCAAGTGATGATTCCTTCTTGGAACCTTTCCTCAGTCTAACCCAATGTTTCTCTGGCTGTCTGAGGAATTCTGGGAGTAGAAGTCCAAACAGCTTAAAGTTGCCAAGGTTGAGAAACATTGCTCTAACCTAACAAAGGATTAAAATTAAACATCATGTCGTGCACACACACAACCCTCTTGCTGCTTATTGCACTATCCAAAAATTGGGGATTCCAGTTTGGAATTTATAAAAAATGGGAAAAGTAGCTGCCGCAAATGAATACGAGTAGTCAGTTTCCATTAGTGTTTTTCTAGCTCATATATATTGAAGTAGACAAAATGTGTAGCTTTTCACAATATATTTCGAAGATGACCTTCTCTTCAAATTCTGTTTTTCTCTTTAGCTTGTAGGCTTATGTATATTGGGATTGCTGTCAGGCATATCAAGAACAGAAATGATAGCATACAGTTGAGTAGGCTATACAGTTTTTATCATTCTGTGTTCTCATCCTAAATCACATTCTTGACTAGCTAAAGTGATATTTTCTTCCTTTCCTTCCTCTGGCATGAACAGATTATTCTTGCATTATTGTTTCTATCAAGTTAAAGTCTCTTTTGAGTCATAGTTGATTCCTGGTGACCATAGGGGCACTGTCACATAATTTTCCTGGCCGCAGTACAGTTCAAAACTCATCTGTTGTTGCCATCTGATGGGATGTTTGTTTAATAAGTTAGCTTATTGTTTGTTTGTTTGGTTGGTTGGTTATTAAACAAATGCATATAGCCATCCAATTTACATAAAGGTAACTTGGGGCAGCTTACAACATTTAAAAAATCCACCATGGAATAAAAACCATTTTTAAAAAGCATCTCCACCCCTCCATGGCAACAATGCCACAATTAAATCAGCTGTTGTGGCTCCGTTGCCTGAGCCTGGGCTATCGACAGATGCAGACTCTGAGAGTGAGGGAGAGGAGTTGGCAAGGCCTCCCTCTCCAGGACCCTCCTCTCTGGCAATGCCTCCGGAGGACACCAAAGGCCAAATGATAGGCTCAGAGCCAAACACGTCCCCGCAGCCACAGGTGGACAGCGACGATGAAGATAAGTACTGGCTGGACCCTTGGCAGAGGCGCAGGGAGAAGCGTGCGCAGCAGAGGGGAAGGCGTGCCAGAGATTAGCTGAGTCATTGGACCACACCCCACAGGGTATAAATGTGGGTGTGGTGGCCGGTTCAGTTTGTGACGAGCAAAAACTGGAAATAATCCATGATCTCTGCATTACTGGACTTTGCCTGCTTTATTGGATTGCATTTGGATTAATCCTTGTATTGTTGACACTCTGCCTGTTTTATCGGAATGCTTGCAGTCTAATCTTTGTTTTGTGTGAGTAAAGTCTGAATTGGCAGCTAGCTACTGGGTTGCTGCCAACTTTATCTTCAAAGAGTTTTGTCGTGTGGCTTTTTAACTCCGGGCCATCAGTGGGGGTCCGTGTGTGGTATGGGGACAGAACATCAGCCACTTGATTGGCTCCATCTCCATTCGTGATCCCTAGGCCTGCTGACAAAACCATGTTTTTAGTGTCTTCCAGAAGAGTAATGGGGAGGAAATGATTTCTATAAGAAAGGAGCCACTACTGAGAAGGCCCTTTTTCATGGTCCCATTGGATGTACAGCCCTAATCAATGGGACCCATAACATGCCCTGCCTTTCCATTCAGGTGGATGTAATAGGGAAGAGGCAGTCCCTCAAATAGCCTTCCAGTCTAAACTGCAGCCCTACACTTTTCTATTGATCTCCTATTTAGCTTTTTTTTCGAAAATCAACCAGACCAGTGAGATGCTGTTATCTACTGTGACCAATGATTACTCTTACATTACATTTGTCATCACTTGTCTCTAGATGATTTACAGCGCAAAGATGGAACAATTAAATACATTAGACAGGGATCATGTAGAATGTGCTTTTGATCATCTTTCTCCAATATTTCTGAGAGATAATTAACTTAATCTCAGAGCGTCTTGAGCTCAAAACTCCCAAAGACCAGGTGGCAGCTATGGCCAAGATCTTCACCCACCTCCATCTGGTGTGCCAGTCAAACACATTATGAATTGGTAGGCCCTTTGGACAGGCACAAATGTCCTAGTGACCTCACAGCTTAATTCAGCAATGTGCAATGGAACTACTTATGAAAACCAATAACTTGGTTTATTGGTGGGCAATAACTTGTCCAGAATCAATAGCACCAGCAGTGATGAGCATACCTTGGTATGGTCCTACTGTGAAAGCTGCACTGGTTGCCAGTATTTATTTTTACCTGTTTTGTTTATTAATCAAAAAGAGACACTACCCATCCCATTTGGATAGACATTACTATCCAAGTGACTCTGGGCAGTTTACAGATATAAACATTAAAACCATATAAAAGGCATATCATTAGAAACAATTTGAAGGATAAAATAGGGACAAAATTAAAATACAAATTAAAAAGGCAGAAGGGCTACCCTCAAATCATCAGCCAACCCACCGTTGTGTGCCACTCTTCAATCCCTATGCCAGTTGGCAAAGCCAGATCTTCATAGTCTTCTGTAAGGATTGGAAGATTGGGTGCAAACCTCATCTCTGGGAGCAAGATGAGCAGGGGCAACAGCAGAGGAGGCTCTTTTCCTTGACCTCATCTATGCTTCTAGATAGAATTCAGGATGCTGATTATGACCAATAAAGCCTTACACAGCATAAGGCCAAATGATGTGAGAGACCATCTTTCTCCCGTAGTTTCTGCCTGATCAGTATATGCTGGTAGAGTTAGTACACTCAGGATTCCTTCAATTAAACAATACCACTTCAGGAAACATGCTTTCCCTGTCATGGTGCTTGCTCTCTGGAATGAGATCTCTCTTGAAATCCTTATGGCTGTACTGTGTTGGCATTTCAAAATGCTTCAAATAGGTGGTTAACTTTGAAGACCTTGGATTAAGATGGCTGGAGATGTTAGATGTGTTTTGTCTATGTTTTTGTATAGAGCGACAGATTTTGTTTTGTATTTTGTTATTGTGGTTTATTATATTGTAAGCTACCCAGACTCGTTTTGGAGTCAATCGGTGCCTGAAATTAATAGAATAAGAAATAATGGAAAGGAATAAGATAACTTTCCAAATATCACCTTTTTTGAGAGATTCTCATAACTATTGCTTTACACCTATGAGCTAGACTTTGTTTATGAAAAGAATGATAAATTGTCACTACCAATTAGTGTATTTTCATAGTTTTATGTTTTTAGCTTTACAAAATTAGCAGTAACATATATATAAACTTATTAATATTTGCCATATGATTTCAGAGTGATCTTTCCCATTGATAAAATTAAAAACTTATTGTATTGTTAAGTCATCACCACATATGGCAAATTATATTCATTTATATATAATACACAATGCAGTTTAAAATCTTGCGTATATCAAGTTTCCACCATCCCATTATGTTACAGAGTGATTCCTTCCCCTCACAAGCCCACAATACCTTACTATTTTTCTACAAAATAAGCTGCAGACAATGGAAACTTTCATACTGTTTCCTGTAATTTCCAGCTCATGTCATCCATAAAAGGTGCTGTGGATTATTTCAGTAATGGCACAAAATACATATATATTTAAATACATATAAGCCGAAGGAGAGAAGAAAAGTACCCAAGAAGGGAAAAGAAGAAAATGATTTTCTGGGACATATTGTAGACTTCCACTCTCCCTTTTTTATACTGTAATAATTATCTGTCCAAACACAATCTTAAGAAAAAAGTGTGCTAAATTAACAAAGGAAACTTCCTCAGCCTGTCTTAATTGTGATTCTCCAACAGCTGCCATCTTTTCCTCTGATTGCAGGAGCAGATTTGTTCAATCACAGAGGAGATCAGCCAGCAGCCCCCCACCCCCACCCCCGCCTTTCATTTTTTCCCTTGCTCTCCCCAAATCTGCTTAGAGGTTAGAGATTGAGATACAGGAAGTACAGAGAAAGATAGAATAAGGGAAGTCCTGTTACAGGACGAAAAATCCACTTGCATTACTTTGATGTAATTTTTAATTCCAGCATCCTGTTTCCAAAAATGGATAACCAGATGTCTATGAGAAACTCACAAGCAGGACAGGAACAATCAGTTCTCTCTTGCTTCACCCAGCAATTAGCATCAATGGCATAGCAATTCTAAAGATGAAAGTTCAATGTGTCTTACACAGTAATAGTGATGAAGTTGATATATTTATTTATTTTAATTTACTTATGGTAAACTATTATTTAATTAATTAAATTTATATGCCGCCCCTCTCCAAAGATTATCTAGGATGTAATGTTTTATTTTGGCTAATTGAAGGAAAAGATTCTAAGTGCTTTAAATAAAAAATAAAAAATGTACAACTGGTTTTAATCTGACATATACATACATACATACATACATACATACATACATACATACATACATTTCAGAATTAATAACAAATAGTACATTAAAGCATGCTATTATTTAAACTAAGATCTTGGCAAAACATTGTAATGTGTATTATAATGTTTATTATGAAAAGAAGAATTACGTTTATTATGAAAAGAAGGAAAAAAAGATGTTTATTATGAAAAGAAGAACTAGGGATGACATGATAGCAGTATTCCAGTATTTGAGGGGCTGCCACAAAGAAATGGGGGTCACCTTATTTTCCAAAGCACCAGAAAGCAAGCCAAGAAACATTGGATGGAAACTAATGAAGGAAAGAAGCAACCTGTAATTAAGGAGAAACTTCTTAACAGTGAGAAGAATTAACCAGTGGAACGGCTTGCCTTCAGAAGTTGTGAGTGCTTCATTACTGGAGGTT